TCGAAAAACCATCGCGCCAGTAATACTGCACTGTGGTTTAGAAAACTAATTTTGTCTGAAGGCTACTCTCACATAAAAAGTGCTAAAGAAAAATAAAGACGTCCTGCAAGGCAGACTGCGTGTAGTCATATAGCATTGAATGGAAAGTGCTGTGCCGCACGGCAGCTCACTCTTCCTCATTTTCTGGTTGGGTGTTGAGTTTTAGGCTAATGCTAGTGCTGGCTGACACGCCCCCTTTTATAAGTCCGTGCTGCGGCGATACCACGCTGCCAACATCTGCAGTAAAACAACACAAAAGTAGAGTAAGTGGTAGCTGCGTGAATCTTTTTTTTTTCTGGTATCGTTTTTAGGCCCTGTCCGCGATTTGTATGCACGGGGGCGTTGATCAAGGAAACCACCGTGACAGCATCGCACGTGTGGTGTTACGCCGCTACTCTTGAGGGCGTGGGATATATTAGCGACCACAGTGACCACAGTTCGATAGGGGTTATGAATGAAAAATACCCGTAGACCAAGATATGTGTGCGCATTAGATAACACCAAGCGGTCACAATCTCGGTACGGACACTACAGCGTACATAAAAATGATATCTTGTTTGGCACTTGAACGCCTAGCAATTATTGATGTTGAACACGCCTTCATTTTAGACCGACACAGACAAGCGGAAAAACTGAAACTGTGTGTTAAGCGATCTAAACAACGAGTGAAAATTGAAGACATTTGATACTCCTCTAGCAAGGCATAAATTACGACGTTACTTAGCCACGGCAGCCAGTGAGAAGGACGCTTACCGCATCGACTGACTCCAGAAAGCTAAGCTTCGAGTAGTCCGCTGCTTGTTCGTAACAATAAGCCTGTCTTTTGCACAAACTAAGTTAACCGAGGCATCGAGTGTTCACCCCTAGAGTTTCTTTTATAACAGCTCAGAGGCGAATGTGAACGTGGCCCCGCACAAGTCTTGTGGGCAAGGTAGCTTTTCTCAACACGCGACTGTTTACAAAAAAAAAAAAAAGTTATCTACCTACCTATCGTATCATTCACTTTTCGCGGTGGCATCTGATAGAGTTCGGTGGTGGTGGTCAGATGGATGGACGCATCGAAACTTTGTTAGTCTTGAAGTGCACAAATCAATGTTCAGCGGCCCAGATAAAACGAAAAAAGTTTACATATGCCGTATGTTGCATAATACGCTCGTTTTTTTCCCGGCAAAGCACCGTTTAAACTCGACCGCTCGGCCCTAGTTTTTACTGGTGGCTATCTTCACTATCGAATGAATGTAGCCGACACGCGCCATTCGGTTTAGAAACGACTCCGACAGCACCAAACTGGAAAGCGAGAGCAGAGTTTTGCTCGCCTGACCGCTTGGATGCAACGCCGCCTTCTATTTCTGCGTTCTCCTTTTCCTCTATACGTCCTCCCTCTTTTTATAAACTCCAGCGCTGGTTATCTATAGTATATTGCAGTAAACCAGTTACTAGAAGCTCATAAGTATCTTGCACACTTACCTTAGTAAGTTGTGACGCCACGTACAGGCCGAGCGAAATGACAACGCTGATCACACACAAGCTTGAAGCAATGAATCGTTTTATGGCGAGTCAATCGATCGATGTTTAAATAAAAATGGCAGATCTTACGCACAGTGGATATCGATGATATGTGAAGCACGAATGAGGAAAATTCATATGTCAGTTTAAAATCAGCCCAACGTTACTAGGTGGATGTAAATGATGCCATACATGACTTCCATGTGATAATTATCATGTTTGGATGTGTCGTTTAGCTTCGTCATCTACTCACGTCACGTGATACCAAATTTAGTATATGTGGAACTAGCGAAACGGCAGCAAGCACGCTATGAGCGTGGTAAGTTGTCATGTTCTTACATGACACGCGTGTCAGGGTTATCATGTTCACACCAGTCATGTATTTCGTCATCCATAGACGTCAAGTAACACCAAATTTGGTCAATGGGGAGCTAGCAGAACGGCCGCCAGCGCATAATGAAGGGCCCAATGTACTCCAACGTAGCGCTGACGCACGCGCACGCTGGGCACAGCGACGCTATGTTAGCGAAACGCGAGCACTCTATAGTCTGACGCAAGGCGCGACCAGCATCCGTCAGCGCGGCCCGAAGGCAACTGGCGCGAAATGCGATATGCCGCATTTCGTGCCAATGGGTTGCTCAGACAACACTGTGCCTCCCTCTTTTCGTGACGAAGGGACACCGGATGCCCTGAAACATACACGCGTCAAAGCAACACAGAGCGGCATGCGCCTGCGAGTCTATGGCAAAACCTGTGCCGGCATGGCAATGCCAGCGTGACGCAACGAAGTGAACTCCGGCAAGCACGCGCACTGTGTGACGTCGAAATGTATTGGCGCCTTGACTGTGGGTAGTAGTCATGTTCTCACAAGACACGCATCTCATGATTATTATGTTTGCACCAGTCACATACCTTCTTCATCCATTGGAGCCACGTAGTACTGAGTTTGGCACATGTGAATCTAGGGAAACAGCCATGAGCGCATCATGAGTGTAGCATGTAGTCATGTTGTTACATGACATGCATCTTATGTTTATCATGTTTACACCAGTATCATACCTTCGTCATCCATTCACGTCCCGTAATACCAGATTTAGTATAATTGAAACTAGCGAAACAGCCACGAGCGCATCATGAGCGTGAAATGTAGTCATATTGTTACATGACAAGCATATCGGGATTATCACGTTTGCACCAGTCACACACCTTCGTCATCCATTCATGTAACATAATACCAAGTCTGGTGTATGTGACGCTAGCGAAACGGCCGCGAGCGCATCATGAGCATGGCATTTAGTCATGTTGTTACATGACACGCATATCATGATTGCCATGTTAGGGTCTGTCACTTGTGTTTGCCATGCAATCGTGTCATACCATACCAGTTTTGCAACATGCCATGTGAACGAAACCACCGCAAGAGCTGCAGGACCGTGAAGTGTAAATCATGGCATTAATGACATACATGTCGTGATTCTGATGGTTTGACTAGTCCGATATGTTTTTCATACAGTCATGTTATGCCGTACCAAGTTTCGTATCAATACCATTATCGAAACGGCCAGGAGAGCTAACAGTCGTAGGTGGATAGATAGATAGATAGATAGATAGATAGATAGATAGATAGATAGATAGATAGATAGATAGATACTCCCAAAGTCACCGAAGTTCGCTAAGAAATGCTTCGCATTTAATAAAGGCCATGTAAGTAACATTTTAGCCCGTTCGGCAGTGAACAATATGCATGCATCAGCGTTCATGTGAAAACAAGGCGTGAAAACAAAAAAAAAAAAAAAAACATCAGCGTTCATGTGAATACGTATTACATACGCATAGCCCCAACGCAGACGCCCGAAGCACTGAACCTGTCCAGCGCCAGCTGATATATCTGTCGCACTTCACGAAATTTTCGCTGGTATAAGCAAAAGTATACTGCTTACGTCCCTGTACTTGTGCAGCTCAAGATCTTACAACACCTCGTTGACAGTAAACTTTCTGTAATTGGTATCAACATGGTTGCGTACCTTTCACGAGCTGTGCGGCGAGACTGTTTGTTTCCTGGTCCGCGCTGCTGCCATCTAAAGGGCGTCACTTTCCAATTTTCTACGCGTTCGCACTATGCATCCTTCTGAGCGCCTAAAATTAAATGAGAAATGGTTTTTATGGTTACCATTCTTATGTCTTACAAATGCACTCTTTAAAAAAAGGTAGTAGTACTTGCGAACTTTCGGGTAGTAACGGTTTGTCACATATGTTACAACCCTGGTAGTAAGCGCAGTTAGTAATGGCAAAGGTGGTAACAGTTACCACCTTTGCTGTTACTACCAGCATTTAGTAACTGTTACTAACCTAGCCGTTACCACCATTGGGTAGTAACTTTTAAAAGTTTCAAAGAAAGTAGCAACCGATACTACCCAGTTAATTAATTTTGGCATGGTTTTAGGGGCGAAGCTCCTTAATGTGGCACCTGTTCGTCCCTCGTAGTCGTAGTCGTAGTGTGTGACCATTCTTACGTTTTCACCTGCAAGGTGGTGCCGGTGGGAGATTTCTCCTGTGCATTGTTGAACAATAAAAAAATTTGTAACGTGCGCGTTAACTAAAAGCCGAATTCTCCTGTCTATCATTCCCCATTAGCAGCCATTGGCATGTATATTGAGCACTATCTGACAAGAAAGGGTTGCTACGTTATACTCGCTGGGCGTAACCCCCTTGGTTTTAGAAAGGTTTAGCAAGCGTTGGGCCGCAGTGCCATGAATACAGTGAACTAGTATATGAACCATGAACTATGAACTCGAGGTGGTTAAAGGTGCGAAGTAGACACGAAGCGCAAGCCGAAGTGTCCGTGTGCCACCTCTCGTTTAGTCTTTGTGATGTCCGCTGGATGGTGGTGCTTCTATATGCGTAATATATGATGAAAAGATGCAGGATGGTGGTACTTGGAGTGTTGACTAGATGGATGAACGGGCACACAGACAGATGCATGGGCGTATGCACGGATGGCTGCACGGATGGCTGCACGGACGGTTGGACGCATGAATGGACGCAGGGACGGACGCACGGATGGACGTGTGGACGCACGAACAGTGGCATGCGCGGACGGGTGGATGGACGCATGGACGGTCACACAGACGGACGCATGGACGGATGGAAGCAAGAACGAATGGATGGATGGATGCTTCACCCCAGTCTCCATCATTCACCCCGTGGATATGCTGTCATTTAGTGATGGAGGCGAAAATGCTCGATGTTCATGGATACTTTGATTTGCGTTCACGTTGAACAACCCCCACGTTTTCGAAATTTCAGGAGCCCTTCACTACGGCATCTCTCATGATCATATCATAGTTTCTTTTATGTTAAATCCCAGCAAATGTAGTTATAATAGCAGACATTTATATTCAACCTGTTGCCGATATCGCAGTTCTAGCTGGACTCATCTGCATCGTGGTGTTGTGTTTCCATGCTGCCTGTGTGGATTCTGGCCTCTACCGGTGCACTTGGCTCGTTGGCGGAGTTCCTGTTTCGTGACCGATACTTGACGCTACTCTCTTCGGTGCTGCCAACCGTGGCCACCTACAACCTGCTCACGATACTGGGCATCGAAAACGACTTAGAAGGTGCGTACGCGACGAGACGTAAATGTGAATCGGCATATATTTACGATAAGAGAGCGAAGAAAAAATGGGCGACCCTTAAGCTCCGCCTTCAAGAGTTGAACTCAATAGCGATATTCTGTTCCTAGTGCGTACTTCAAACACTTTTCGAACTTGCTATGCACCCACTACGTGGTCTTTCAAGGACTCTATAGTTGCAATATTTCGAGGGCTCTAGTTACAGCTGTAAACAGAGCTTAACGCACGTTTAATACTTGTGGAATTTTTGTCGCTTAGAAGTAATCGTAATGTTGTTTCGATAAAGCTCGTGAGTATTTGTCAATAGAATTGCTTTAGAATTGTAGATTTTTTTCAAAATTTTTGCCTTATCATTCAGACGCTGCTTTCAATATGTTGGCCTTACTATTCGAAAAATACTCGTGCGGTATTCGATTACTATTCGTATTTGATTCGCTGTCATCACTGTTCAATTCGTGTTCGATTCGGTTCTGAAATTCATTATTCGCTCAAGCTACTGCTGTTTCCTTGTAGCCCCCCGTGAAACAACGCTGATTGAACAACCTACCAAGCGAACATTTTTCTACGTGCGCTTCATCAAATGCATCGAGTAGCCTTACTATAGGGCACTGTAGCCTTAGTGCGAGAGGCCACTGTCACAGGAATCTTGTCTCATTTCTCAACGACAGGTGGTGCCTCGTGGGGCAAGACACTCAGGCACGTCTTCGGTGTGTTCCCCGTCAACGTGGTTGAAATCTGGTGCGTCAACCTCGCTACGGCGGCCATACTCATCCTGCTCGGGGCGTACACGTCTAACGTCCTTCCATGGAACAAAGTGATTCCGCTGCACCCACTTTTTCTCTTCAAAGTGAGTCACGCAGGGAGCGCGACGATGTCAATTTGTAGAAGTAAAAAAAAATGTTGATTTGTTTAGTTGTTTTCTTGATAGACAGAGAAAAAGTACTCTGATTGAAAAGCAGATAATTGATCCGGATTGCTTGATTGAGTGAGTGAGTGAGTGAGTGAGAAAGTGAGTGAGTGAGTGAGTGTGTGAGTGAGTGAGTGACGCCCTTAGGTCAGAGATATTACAGAGTCAGGAGTCAAACAATTCAACATAAATAAAAGAAACGAAATTAAAAATAAAAGCATGATGATTTGGCTTCTATAATTTGAAAAAGTTTGTGGGGACAAATGGGAAAACTGCTCTGAGCATGGTACAACTGTGCATTCCATCACCTCCGCTTTGGACGCGTCACCGTTCAGTCGTTTCAAACACAAACTACAAGAAATTGGCAGAATCAGCGAAAGTCTCAACCTACCATCCAGCTTATGAAATTCGTGTTCTTGAAGAGGCCAAAAACAAAACCAGAGCTCGACAGAACCATCTAAATAAAAAAAATATTTTTTGCGTTGTTATATACTATGAGGCAACGTTGAAGAGAGCATTAAGGTAGGTCGCTAAATTCGTTTATTACTTTTTGTAGTCGTCATACTGTGAAAAAAGTGCAAACGGTAATTAAAGATGCCTTTCGTGACATACTGAGTGGGCGCGTCAGCTGGCTCTCGGGGGACGCTATGAACCCGATCCTGTTTTTCACGCAGGCTCTGCTACTTATCGCTCCACGGACGGCCGGCGCGCACGAGGAAACAACATGCTCCGCAACCGATACCAGCTCCAACACTGAAAACTACGAATACGAACGATCACAGATCCTGGACTTCACCGTACCACCACATTCAACTTCGGCGCCACTATCGACAGCTATAGGAAGATCATCCTACCGGCTACCTGTCAGTGGGCGCGTCAGCTGGCGCCCGGCGGACGCTATGAACCCGATCCTGTTTTTCATGCAGGTTAGTTCAAAGTAAAAGTATTCTACGGGGAAAAGTAGCGATCCGTTCTTTGTCCAGCTGACGTGCCCACACTACCTGAGTGCTTTTATATCATATGCAAAAAAAATTTGTACTGTCGCTGCTATTACTATCTGGCGATGTGGAGCCAAATCCTGGTCCTAGTGACCGGGAACTACTCACAGAAATTCTTGCGGGTCAGAAAAGTGTGATGAAAAGACTAGACGGCATAGAAATAAAACTGAAGAATGTACAGGAATCCGTGGCAAAGTGCTTAGAATTTGGAGCAAGAATTGACAAGGTAGAGGATAGCATTCAGACATTAGAAAGAAAACTTGTTGATCTTGAAGACCAAAGTAGGCGAAATAATGTTATAATATTCGGTATTACTGAGAATGAAAATGACACGCCCGAGTCACTTACGGGAAAAATTGTTGAAGAAATATTTAAGGAAACACTGGGTGTACAGGTTTCCTCACTTGAACGGCTGCACAGAATGGGGCGTAAACAAATAGATAAACCGCGCCCAGTAATCATGAGGTTCTTGGACCACCGTGATAAGCTGAACGTGCTAAAAAATTGTCCAAAGCTAAAAGGCAAACGAAATATTACTATCTCGGAAGACTTTTCTGCTTCAACAAGGCATGTTAGAAAGCAAATATGGCAAAGTTTCGCTGATGAAAGAGCATCTGGAAGCAAAGTGCAGCTTTTTTACGACAAGATCAAGATCATTGGCAATATGTACACGTGGGATGATACTAAGAAGATAAGGGTGCGGGTTGGTAAAGATGGTGATAGAACACGACGGTTTAAATGACCTCATGGGCAGCTAAAAACGTTTAGGTGCTTGAATCTTAATGCGCGCAGCATATTGAATAAAATGAATGACTTGAAAAGCCTTATAATAGCACATAAACTTCATGTAATAATTATAACTGAAACCTGGTTGCACAAAGACATCACTGACGCTGAAATTGCATTTCCCTACTATAAAATCTATAGATACGACCGGGATTCTCGAGGCGGTGGAGTAGCTATCCTATTCTTGGAATCATTAAACGTCCTAAGACTACAGGATATTCCTGGAATTGAATGTGTAATTATAAAAATATTCCTCGAAGAATTTAATTTAATCATTGGAGAATTCTATCGCCCTCCAAATGCTGACAACACGTTTTTTGATCAAATAAATGAATTTTTGTGTCAATATAGAAATTACGCATGCAATTTGCTACTGGCCGGCGACTTCAATATGCCTGTGATAAACTGGGCTCAAGATTTCCCGGATCCACTTTGCAGAGCTTCCAAGCCACTTGCTGACCTTGTTTTGTTTCACAATTTAACGCAACTAGTGAAGGAGCCTACTTGAACTCAACGAAACAGCAAGTCAGTCCTGGACCTCTTTCTTGTTAACAGCGGCATTCAGCGTCGCAACCCAGGTAGTTGAGGGTTCAAGTACCTGGGTTGCTGAACCTGAACCCAGGTTCAGGTACTTGAGGGCATATCTGACCATAAAATGGTGTCCCTAATCATGAAAATAGATTTTGCGGTAAGACACACGGTCCAATAAAGGAAGATTCTCGTTTTTTCTCGTGCCAGTGACGTTGACATTTTGGATGTTATGGGCAGCAGCTTTTCTGAGTCTACTTCTCTTTATGAATCTGCTCAACATTCAGTAGATCACCTATGGCGCTTTTTTAAAGAGTTAGTGTTCAAGTGCATACAAAACTTAGTTCCATGCAAAAATAAAGTACTGCGAAATTCTAACCCCTGGACAACAAAAGATATTATCCGGTTAGGTCGTAAGCTGAATAAAAAGCTCGAAAACAGCACAAACGACGCCCCTCAAAGAACAGCACCGATAAAATGCTAACACTGCGCGTGCAGCTCAAAAACGTAATCTCAGAAGCCAAAAACCACTATCAGAAAGTGTCCTTAACAAACTTTCTTCTTTCATCACCTGGGAAATTATGGCGTCATATCGCACCAAAAAATAAAACTTCGATCAGTCTTTCCATAAACGATACAAACGTAGTCGACAGTGCAGAAATCGCAGAGGCGTTGAATGACTACTTCAGTTCGGTGTTCACAAACAATAACGGAATCGCCCCTCCTTTTTCATCATTAGACGACATAGATCTCTTAGACAACATTAGCGTTTCTGAACAAGGTGTGTTGTCGTTGGGGCTGAACATTGATACAAAAAAATCACCCGGAACTGATGCTATACCCAATGAATTTCTCGTTCGTTATGCGGAATGGTGCTCCAAATATATAACACTTATATTCTCCAAATCATTGTCTAGTGGCGAAGTCCCGAGTGAATGTAAATACGCAAAAATCATTCCTATACCTAAATCTGAAAACAAGTCGCTTGTGTCATCATACAGGCCTATTTCTTTGTTATGTACATGTGCAAAATTGCTTGAACACATAGTATTTAAACACATCTCCGCCTTCCTTGACAGAAACAACATAATTGACCCCCGGCAACACGGTTTTCGCAAAGGACTATCTACTACCACAAAACTATACTTGAGACAGTTCACGACCTCGCTAGTGCTCTAGATAGCCATAGTCAAATTGACATTATATTCCTTGATTTCGAAAAAGCATTCGACCGAGTCTCCCATCACAAGTTGCTTATAAAATTAAAACCAATCCTGAAAAACGATTCTTTACTAACATGGATTCGGGCATACCTTTCCCATAGATACCAAAGTGTCTCTGTAGATGGCTCAAGCTCCACCCCCACTTCAGTTCAATCCGGTATACCACAAGGCTCCATCCTTGGCCCGCTTCTGTTTTTAGTATTTATTAATGATATAGTCTGTGACATACCCGTTAAAATAAGGCTTTTTGCAGACGACTGGATCCTGTATCACGTCATCAATGACCCCAACGACGAGATCACCCTAAACAAATCCCTGGATAAGATACACTCTTGCAATGGTGTTCGACTTGGCAGATGAGCATTAACGCAAAAAAAGACCGTCGCTATGAGAGTTACCCGCAAAAAAAGTCCCTGTCTCTTCACCTATTGCATCAACAATAACTGTATATCTCTAGTTAACAGCTACAAATACTTAGGGGTTATAATTACCTCCGACCTAAAGTGGAACGAGCACATAGAGTACACACAAAAAAAGGCAATGAAGGCACTTGGGTACTTACGCAGAACCATTGGAAAATCTACCAAAGAAATTAGAATGTTGGCGTAGAAAATTTACGTGAGACCCATACTGGAATACGCGTCTTCTGTGTGGGAACCTCATACATCAGAAAACATGAAAAAACTGGAACGTGTACAAAGAAAATCCATGAGGTTTATTTACAACGCTTATAGAAGAAACACATCCCCCTCGACCCTCCTTGAAAGTTCGGACTTGGAACCCTTAGAACGCAGGCGCTCCCGTGAAAGACTGAAACTGTTTTATCAGATCTATCACAGTAACCTTCGAATCGATAAAACTGAATATATTCTACCGTCGAAATCACGTATAATCCGGTCACACCACAGCAAGAAAGTCCAGGAATTTTCATGCAGAACCACTGCTTTCCAAAAATCATTTTTTCCCTTAGCAGCACGTAGTTGGAATGCCCTGCCCGATGAATCTGTTTCATACACAACTGTCGCTTCATTCATGAACGCGATAGCAAATCTGCCATCTATCCTTCGAACTTTTTTTCTTTCTTTCTGTTTGTTTCATTGTCCCCGCATTTAATCTCTCCCGTGTGTGTCTGAGTTGTATTACTTTCCTATGTTCAGCGCTAGCTCAATTGTATCACGCTTCGTCGATTGTGTTGATATGTGTTTTTCTCGCCTTTTTTTTATCAACAAAACTTGCTCATTCTGAAGCGCTGCATTGACTTCAATGTTTGTAAATCCCTGTTTTTCTTCTGTATTTCCCCCCGACATATTTTTTCCGTTTTAAGCTTCAGTTGTTTTCTTGCCCTGGAAAATGTCCCATAAAGTGTATCTGTCACCCACTCCTGCCTACGTCTTCGCATAGAAGTCGGCAGTATTCACTAAATAAAATAAATATATAATTAAATAAATAGAAAATACTTCATGCTACATATCATGAGACTGTTCCCCACACTTAAGTTCCAAAGCACATCCTGTAACTGTAATGAAAATGGGCATAAGCAGAAACCAATAAACGCCATTGTTGATTGAACATACGTATGGGCTAAAGATTTCACGCACAAAAATGGTCTTAATAAATTTATGGCGACGAATTCGGGAATGAGCACTGATTAAGTGTGAACATTCATTTAATGAAAAATATACACCGCGAAAATATAGCGCGGTATCCGCGTCATTCTTTTCCCCTCCTTGTTCGTTCAGTGCACTGAAGTGAACATGAACATGGTCCCCAAACGAACGCTCATTTAAGACTAAAGTGACCTCTTAGATGTATTTGGCAAGCTGCATGGCTATGAGCATCATCACATTTCTTCTTGGAGATTATTTTCTGGAGCAAAATATTGCGAAATCTTTTCAATATAAAAACTGGACATTTTTATGACCACTTAAGGGCATCCACAAGAGATGTCGTACGCCGCTGAAAAGTTACGAACCTTGGCACTTTAAAATTTCAGCGACTAAATACTAAAGCAGTGCAGCTACTTGGATGTTTCTTTTCGACTATTCACAATATGATTTCACGACTCACACAGGTCACAGGGTTAAGAGATTCAGCTAAGACTTACGATCTGAGAATGCTAAAGCCTGTATACGTTCATTTCCAAATCACAGAAAGATCCAACCAAGAGTAAAACAAACCATGCACTTAAATCTATCTAATATACTCGTGCAGTGACCGCACCCTAAAGTTTGTTAAATAATCTGACCAGAAAACATATTTTTGAATTTCGCGTGTGTTAGCATCCTTGAATTTTTTAGACGATTACCAGCATTAGCAGTTGTGCGGTTGTTCTTCGATCACTTCTTACTGAACGCATTTCGTGAACACAACCCGAACGTTGCCAGAGTAAGC